GGGGGGGGGGCGTTTCTGGGCTTTCTCTAAAGGACCGATTCCCTGCCACCTCTGCAGAGCCCCCACGCCGTGTTAACCCAAAGCTATCAAGCACCACAGCACATGTTGTTTCATGATGAAGAATTCCATTGCGAAACCTCTCGCTCACCCTCTCGAATGTGTCCCCCCGCCCCCCGCAGGATCGTGAGAATGCCCGCAAAATCCATGAATTGGCAGGACTGCCGTTCTTTGAAATCTTTGTGGATGCACCTCTAAACATCTGTGAAAGTAGAGACGTGAAAGGCCTCTACAGGCGAGCCCGAGCCGGGGAGATCAAAGGTAGGAGCGCCAGCCCCGCGGCCCCTTTGCCGGCAACCCTGTGCTCTCGAGCCTTCGTGCTCCATCTCCAGAAACCTGTCTGAAGTCTCAAGAACTGTTTTCCACGGTTGCATCTAGCACGCTCAACTTTTTATCGAACCACAGTATATTCAGTATGTCCACGGGCCCATTAACACGGGGCCTGGTGTTTTGCGAGAACTGTCACCTCAGCCGGAAGCCGTCAAGTTCAGGTCCCTGAAATGAGTGTGTTATCCATGAGTGTGTGTCTAAGGGGAGGGTTCCAGAGTTTTTTCTTCTCGTCTTCCTTTGGATTCTAGTCAGCTGCAGAGGGCTTGGTCCTAGCCACATTTTGTTGATAATTTGGGGGCTTTCTATGTTGAAAATAAAGCTAGGTAAATATATACAGATATATATTTACCTATGGCTAGAGGTCAGGGACAGCTGATGACCTTTTCTGGTCTAACCTGAATTCTCAGTGTAAGGCGTTATTCCAACACGGGTTAAACCCTACTGTTCAGCAGGCCTGTCCCATTGGTGCCGATGTGATTTTCGCCCTCCTGATTTGCAGGGTTCACGGGTATTGATTCTGATTATGAGAAACCCGAGACCCCCGAGTGTGTGCTGAAGACCAGCTTGTCCTCAGTGAGTGACTGTGTCCAGCAGGTGGTGGAGCTCCTGCAAGAGCAGGTGGGTGGACCGGGGCGCTTTTTTGTTTTTCTTAATTGCATAAAGTCACAATAGGTCATTTATTTACCAAAGCATTCTTGTTACAGTTTTCATTTCAAATTGCTACCAATTCTGCTTCCTTTCAGAACATTGTACCCCACACGATCATGAAAGGCATCCATGAGCTCTTCGTGCCAGAAAACAAACTTGACCAGGTCCAGGCTGAGGCCGAAGCTCTCCCTTCGTTAGAGATTACCAAGGTAGGACGGTGCGGGCTGGCCCCGGGAGAATTAGGCTTCATCGCCATTCGTTATAATCTGTTTACAATCACTCGGGATAATAAGGAAGGTATGGATAAGGGAAATGCAACGTCCCTAAAGAAAAACACTTCATTTTTGCTTTTTTTTTTTTTTTTTTAAAAAACCTCTTGCCAAGCAAATCTCTTACCAAGAGCTGCCACAAGGTAGCTGGTCAGTGCCAGGGGCAGAGGCAGACTGGGCAGGTAACTTCTGTTTTGCAGAGGACAGCATCAAATAGTAGTCATTATATCTTCAGTTATGCCAAAGTGCAGGCATTGGGCAGTATCCATTTGTTGGTGGCTGCTGAGAAAAGTTTGTTCAGAATGCAAGTTTAAAAAAAAAAAAAAGAAGGGCGCCTGGGTGGCTCCGTTGGTTAAGCGACGGCCCTCGGCTCAGGTCATGATCCTGGAGTCCCGGGATCGAGTCCTGCATCGGGCTCCCCGCTCGGCGGGGAGTCTGCTTCTCCCTCTGACCCTCCCCCCATCTCATGTGCTTTCTCTCTCATTCTCTCTGTCTCTCAAATAAATAAAAAAAAATCTTTAAAAAAAAAAAAGAATTCAAGAGTTTTTTTGGACAATCAAGAAGGAATTTGGAGAAAACAAAGAGCCACCCTGATCTAAAGTGATAGGATAGGCTTTCCGTGCTCTGCAAATCCCATTCTTTCCTAAGGAGGCAGAGTCCAGCCTCAGGAGAAGGTGTAGACCCTTTGGTCCCACTGATTTTACTTCCTGGAATGCGTAGGCTGCAGTCCCACCAAGTGCACGGCAGATGCCTTTGGCGTTGTATGGGTATTATTGGTCCTTACCAGCTGATCAGATCTTCATTGGTAACTTTATCTTATCCCTTAAAAACCTTAAAACCAGAGTAAGTTGGGAACCTGTTGCAGCTCATTCATACCTCTTTGAAGAAGGCATGGCAAATAGATAAGCAGAAGCCCCTGACCCTACAGAAGAAATTCTGAGTACTCCAGTGCTCCAGGAGCATGAGAAGTACACAATTATAATTACAGTGTGGAATGATAGTTCCAATAACAAAATGGGCTGCAGGGAACAGAGGACCTTCAAATAATCTCAGCATTGTTTTGGTTGTAGGGATGGCAGGAAAGGTCAGCACAGCCGTGACCCATGCTTCGGGGTTTAAAGGATGAATAGGAACTTCAGGTGGGGAGGAGGTTGGGCCTGGGAGGAGGTAGAAATCTCTACATCAGCCCAAAGGGCCAGAGCTTGAAGGGCTTTCAGTATCATGCTAAGAATTGTAGACTTTTCGAGTCAATGATTTGCCAATTTCAGTCAACTACCTAGTACATTTGGTGAAAATATATAGCCCGCCCAGAATTTTTGGAGGGGGGGGGGAAGGAAAGCATGAACAGCAGATGTTAACATAGTTGTCCATCATGAGGCTCTCTGCACTTCAATTTTAGATCACCACTCTCGGGTAGGAAAGTTCTAGCTCAAGCTTATCTGGCCCCTTGATCGAGGGTCGGCATCAAAACGGAACACTTAACACATGAAAGGTTCTGCCTTCATTCCTCTGCCAGCTGAATGAGAAAGGTCTGCCCTGGGGCCAGATGGCTGGGAAAGAGAGCTTATGGAAATGTTCACCTGCTTTTGTGTTTTGCAGCTGGATCTTCAGTGGGTCCAAGTTTTGAGCGAAGGCTGGGCCACTCCCCTCAAGGGTTTCATGCGAGAGAAGGAATACTTGCAGGCCATACACTTTGATACCCTGCTGGACGGTACGTGCTTTTTTTTGTTTCTTACTCTTCATTGTTAAAGAAAAAAAATCGTGCTCAGAAATATTCACAGGAACAAGAAGTGTTCATTCCTGGTATTAATTCTTGGTTCATACCTCTCACTCTGGAGATACTTAGGTGATTTATGGTGTGTCTGATTCTATTATGTATAAATTCCATTTTTAGGATTTTTTTGGGGGGTGCGTTATCCTCAAAGGATTATTGACTATTTGAAAGTAAGGAACTGAAAATCGAAGGTTTTACTTGCACACAAAGCCAAGAGAAAGTTAAGTCTGTTTCGCTCTACTTGCCTGGATACTCAAGAGTAGAGGGCGATCAGGGGCCTGTTGGTTGCCAGCTGCTGGGACCATCATGGGGCAGCAGGGGTGAACTTAGAGCACGGGGCTGACTCGCAGGGGCCCTCTCACCCCCGGGGCCGCTGGGCCACTGGATGCTCTTCCTGCCCTTCCATGCGCTGGATCCTCCAAACCCTCCCGGGGCAGCGCTAAGTCCGCCCTCTGGGCACAGGCCAAATGACTTGAGAGAGCTGATCTGGTCCAGATCGGAAGCATGTGTTATTCAGAAAACTTCCGGCCCCTTCTGTGATCATTTCCTTCCCAGAACGGCCTGAGCTTGTCAAATGGAACTTGTCTGTTTCAAGCCCCTGAGGAATGGCTGCTAGTGGGGGGAGCCGGGTCGGGGAGGGGGTGGAGGTGGGGGTGGGGGAGACGACACACCGAGTCTGAGACACCGAGCAGGGCTTCAGACCTTTTAGGAAGAAAGATCAAGGCAGATAGTCTTTCTTGGGAAAAGATGTTCATGGCCCGGGCTTGTGACTCTGCCTAGGGGGATAAAATAACATTCCAAAATATAATTGGTTCCCTTATGGCTTGCCTTAGCAATAATAACCATACCTGTACAGCACTTGCCCATCTGCAGAGCATTTTCTCAGGCGTGATTTGCTTTGATCAGGCAGCTATGATCACCCCCCTTTACAGACGAGGAAGCTGATCCCAGCCTCAGTGCTTCTCTGGTCCAAGACCAGAGACCACAATCTCCTGCCTTCTGGCCCAATGCTTTCCCTACCGGGCTGCTCTCCTGGCGTCCGTTCGGATAGAAGTTAGAAGGTCAGGACATCTGTACAAGGAAGGCTGACACTTACTTTGATGTCTTAATTCTGACACGTACGGGACACAGGCTGTGTTAAGTAAATGTCACAGGATGCCGCAGCCAATCTCGGGCAAGAGGTTGACCCTGAGCATCCCAACCAGAGCTGTGGCTAAAAGATGAGCGAACCACATGGGAAGTGAGGGCTCTGTTAGAGACACAGCGTTGTCACCTGTGACGAGGACTTGCTCCATAAAGGAAAGTGCCAGGGGTGCTGGGTGTGCTTGTGGAAGAAGTCAGGGGTCCTTCACCCGGGGTCTAGGACTTCAGGGTGGGGGTACACAAACCATCGTAGAGTAGGCAGAAATCCTTTGTGGTTTACGAAGGGGAGAATGGGTGTTTTGCTGGGTTGAGAGTTCTTAGCTTTTGATAGATTCTTAAAGGAGTCTGTGATCCAGAAAGATGCAGGACAGCGAATGCCATAATAATCTATCCGGATCATTGAGGCACGTCTCGCCCCCTCCCTCTCACGCCCTTTTGATTTCATTTTATGGTGTTCTGCAGTTTGTAAAACACGTCGATTTTCTTTTTCTTATTTGGTCCTCGCTACCAAGGACGAAGCCCTTGGTACAGGCCTCCCTGCCCAGGCCCCCCACGTGTTTGCCCCCGAAGCCCAGCAGCACGGAGCTGAGGGAGGTCACTCCCCCATTAATACTGGACTCCCGCTAGCTCCCTATTCCTACCTGCTCATGCAGACATCCCAGTTCTTCCGAAAACTCACACCCAAGCGCTTGTGGGTGTTCTCAAGGGGGTGTTTCCTGTGCCCCCGAGTCAGGCCCACGGCCATGGGCCTCTTGCCGCGTGCATGCGCGTGGCTCTCTGCACCCACGGAGGTGCAGCCCCTGCCCGTTCACTCCAGCCACTACTGTCCTCGGACCCCGTAGGCCTGTGGCAGCTCACAGACTCTCTGTCAAGTGGGAAGGCAGACGTCCCCCTGCTCTGCATGAACCCCAGCTGAGGACTCTTTAGCAGTTGCTGGTTCCCACAGCGTCAGGGAACGGGAGGGAACAACCCTGTGAGCTGAACCCGGGCCTTTCTTCTCCTGCGGTTGCTGGGGTGGCTCCACCAGTGGGGCTTAGGACCACCAACCACTAATATCATAGTGGGGCACAGTGTGAGCTGTGGAGCCGAACTGGGTTCATGGGCTAGTGATCTGCCATGAACCTGGGGCACCTTACTTAACTCTGCGGGCCTCAGTTCCCTCATACGTAAAATGGGGCTGCTAATACCAGAACCTACCCCACGGGGATGAGGAAAGTTTAAGGAACAACTGGTCCAGTAGTAAATGTTCCCTATATTAACACCCTCCCCCCATACATGAAAAGACGTCAAAGTCGTGAAGGCTCCCCCATAGTTACATCAGTCTGGAAGTAGCGCAGATAAGATGTTCATCCGTCAGCCAACAAATATTTATCGAGAGTCCTCATATGCCAAGGTTTGTTCTAGCAGCTGGAGATAGAGTGCTAATGAAGACAGATGTGAGCTTTCGGGGACAGACAGTACAGCCCGTTTTCTGGAAGTACAGTGGGTTCTTCTCCCCATATCAGTAGTTGTCAAGCCTTTTTTTTTTTTTTTTTTTTTAAGATTTTATTTATTTATTGAGAGCGAGCGAGCAGGGGGCAGGGGCAGAAGGAGAGGGCCGGAGAGGCTTAAGCCGACTCCCCGCTGAGCACAGAGCCCGACACAGGGCTCGATTCCATGGCCCTGAGACCATGACCTGAGCTGAAACCAAGAGTCAGACGCTCAACCGACTGAGCCCCCCAGGCGCCCCTTAGCCTTTTTTTTTTTTTTTTTTTTTTAAGCCACATCATTTGTTATGTCCGTGAACTCTGACGCAGTGTATACAGCAGATGAAAATGGAGCTGCTGCTGTGGAAGGGGTGGGCTTGGCCTCCCTCGCACCTGGAGAGCAGCCCTGAGCATGTCTGGAGGAAGCCACTTAACACAGTTCTTACCACACCATGAGTCTCCGGGGAGAGCTCCCCTCGATGGCTTTTGGGCTGTGTAGACACAGTTAAATTCCAAAAAGTGATATATGTGTATCTCAGAAGGTCGAACAAGATCTCATTCATATGGATATCATTTAATTTTAATTAGTTCATGAAAGTCATGAGTCACCACTGACTGAAAATCTGAAATTTCTGGAGCCACAGACGTGTAGCCATCGTCATCTGCCATCAAACAATTGCACATCTCGTGATCACCTGCATTCTGCAGGCAATATATATATTTTTTAATTTGGACCACGTCTCCCAAAAATACTTGGTTGGTTTTAATTTTTTCAAAGGTTCACATTTCCCCTTAAATTAAAAAGCAAAACAAAGCAAAGAAACAAACAAAAAAACTCAGTCTACTCAGTCCAAAAGCAAAAAAAAAAAAAAAAAAAATTTTTTTTTAAGTGTTTCTGATGCTTACACAACAGGGGTTACTCCCTCTATCGCTCAAGGATCTACTTTCATTGGTTTATTATATCACTTTATTTCTCAGTGGATATCTAGTTTGGAGGCTGTCACAGACCCTCCAGTCATAAATATCTCACCTAAGTTAAAAAATGGAACCTCGAGCTCATGTTCTTGCCTGGTGGCTTCCAAGGAGAGTCACGACATGGCGACCTCATGAGACCTGACCGTTTGATGACAAGTCCTTCGCAGCTCTGAGTTGCCAAGGGGGGCTTGAGGGCTTTCCATAGATAACACCAGCATTTATCCAGCACCTAATGTGTTCTGACCCCAGCGTTTGACACAGGGTATCACATTTAATCCAGATAACACTACTGTGAAGATATATTGCTCATATGAGTAAATAAGTATTGGACAGGTTAAGTAACTCAACTTGAAGCCTGGATTCAAATCCAAGTTATCCTGGCTGTAGTTCTTGTACTTACTCTGCTAGGTAGACTTCCGTGTCCTCTAAACATCTGGGATTCTAGAACGTTCTAGAGCCTTTACATATAGTTTGCTATTACACCTAGCAGAGCCTGGTTTGGAACCATTGGACAGTAGTTACAACATGACATATTTGTGTAAGAGACCACTTTTTGCTGCAGCTGGAGGTGCTGCTGACATGTGTTATAATTATTTCAAAACAGATAATATCTGAGTAATGCTTCTGGATTGCACTGAACATCATTCAGTACAAATTCTGGTCTCAGAAGCCTTTTGCTGTTATATATTCTTCAGAGCAGTAGCAAAGAGCACAGTATATTTATACGTTATATGCGTGACATTTTGTAATAGGAATCTGTTCCTTGACATTGTTGCTTTAAGATTATTTTGGTGGAAAGCTGAAAACATGTTTCTTAATTGTGTTTGTATTTTTCTAGGCATGGTCCTTCCTGGTATGTACTTCAACTTTCCAAGTAGTTGAATTATTATAATTAGATAGTTAAATTAATTAGAAATGGTTAAGAACATAATTAAAAAAATCCAAATGATCCAGTTGGAATTAACAGTTCATGATCCAATCAGTTATAATAGAATAATAATGCTACATTCTTCTGTTGATCAGAGTCCAAATAACGGGAAATTTCTGGATCAGATGCAGCTGTTGTTTATAATGTCCTATTTGGCTGACAAAAGTAAACTTGTTTCTAAATTATTGTTGTACATTTTGTCCCCGAGATTTAAAAAAAATTATGATCCTTTCCGCTAATTACTTCTACTGGTCCTCATTTAATTCACAAATCTAGGATTTTTTTCTACTGCATTTATAAAACATTTTTAATCAAGGGATAAATCAATTTTAGATGCAATTTGAATGGATGCACCTGGTTGGATTGTGCATGATTATATTTTGTGGTGTGATTATGCATGAATTTAATTTCAAGCTATAGTGATTGATAGTTATAGAACTGAGAATAAATAACGTTGCTATGACTGTAATGGAAAGGTAAAATTGTGAAGGTATCATTTATCTTTGGTGTTGTTTCCATCATTGTTGTTTCCCTTTAAAAAGCCTAGTTAAGCTCAAAGCCATGATGAGATACCACCCTACACCAGTCAGAATGGCTAAAATCAACAACACAAGAAACGACAGGTGTTGGCGAGGGTGTAGAGAAAGGGGAACCCTCCTACACTGTTGGTGGGAATGCAAACTGGTGCAACCACTTTGGAAAACAGTATGGAGGTGCCTTAAAAAGTTAAAAAATAGAGCTACCCTATGACCTAGCAATTGCACTATTAGGTATTTACCCAAAGAATACAAAAGTACGGATTCAAAGGGGCACATGCACCCCGATGTTTCAAGCGGCATTATCTGCAATAGCCAAACTATGGAAGCAGCCCAAGTGTCCACTGACTGAGGAATGGCTAAAGAAGATGTGGTGTATACCACATCATATATTATGGAATATTAGCCATAAAAAAGAATGAGATCTTGCCATTTGCAATGACATGCATGGATCTAGAGAGTATAACCCTAATTGAAAGAAGTCAGACAAAGAAAGACAAATACCATGGGATTTCACTCAAATGTGGAATTTAAGAAACAAAACAAATGAACACGGGGGAAAAAAAAGAGAGAGGCAAACCATAAGAGACTCTTAACGATAGAGAACAAACTGGGGGTTGCTGGAGGGAGGTGGGTGGGGGATGGGCTGGGTGGGGGTGGGCATTAAGGGGGGCACTTGCTATGATGGATACGGGGTGTTGTATATAAGTGATGAATCACTGAATTCTAGTCCTGCAACTAAAAAAAAAAAAGCCTAGTTAAGCAATAAAATGTGATTTCATTTTTGCTTCGGAACAGTCCTATGCAAAAGTTGTGTGTTGGACCAACCGTGGACTCAGCACACAAGGCTTTTCTGCAAAGTGAGGCAGCCCGCTGTAAGGCAGATTGCCCCAGAGCTGCGGCACACAGTGGGAAAGGCTGAAAGCCCGAGTCGGGGCTGAAAGCCATGGAGGATGCCTCAGCTGAACGTGACACTGTCAGATGAGTTCCCGCAGCGGAAGAGTTGAGGGAGGTGGTAGGCCAAGCTGCTCGTCCTGTGTGGAGTTGTAGCTCCGGGTAGATGCAGTCAGTTGGCATCATTACTCAGTGGAACTCCTCTGCCTCCCCCCCCAACCCCCCCCCCGGATTGGCTCTCTTGACCACCCATCAGGAAGGGCTGTTTCCCCAGGGCAGGGTTTCCCTCAAGGCCAAGAGGAACATGGGTGCGAGGCTACCTCGGGCAGGAACCTAGTAGACCAAAGGAGGCAACTGCCACAGGAAAATGGTGTTGGCTTTGCATTTTGGTTTTACTTGATTTTGGTCAGGTCACTGTGAGCAGTGTGGTCAGTAACCCACAGAACACATGGTTTTCTAGTCAGATCATCAGCACCCTTGAAGGCGTTCCACTTGGCTAGCCTCTCTCCCCTTTCCTCAGCTAGACTTCGGGGTGGGTTTCATGATCTTTGATGACACACCTCCCGTGATAAAGGGCTGTACGGTACGCCCCCACCCCCAGCAACCCAGGAAGTGTGGATTATTCGTTACCCCATCTCTCAAGTCGGGAAACTGAGCCCAGAGAAGGTGAACTGAGCCCCCAGAATGCCTGAGCTTTTGAAACAAAGAAGTCACTTGAATGTCAAAACCCATGACTTCCTGTGCAGATACCTTACTTGTGGTTTGCAAGGGCTCCCCGGCGCACTGGGGGGGTGGGTGGGGATCACAGGATTTTGACAGGATTTCTCTGTCCCCTGCAGTTGCTATCTCTATCCTGTGACATTCTTTACACTCTAGTAACTTCTGGAGAGTATGTAGAAGGTGCAAAGTGATGTGCCCGGAGACAGGTTTCATAGCTGACTCAGATCTCAGATCTTTAACCCCATGAGAGGCATTCCAAATATTGGATTTTGAAGTTTAGGTTTGAAAGACTTCATTAACCTGTGGGACATTTCCTCCCATTTGTTTCCTGTGGAGTTGAATGTTTTCCTTATTCACGTGCTCTCGTTCCTTTCTGAGTCTTGAACTTGGGAATCCCCCCAGATCTCCCTAATCTTGTTCAGTGTTGTACGCTGACGGCGTGCCCCGTTTTCTCATGTATGACTAAAGCAGAGAAACGGACATAGTTGGTGGACGTCAGGTGCCCCCGCAGAAGGGGGGACACAGCTGGCTCATTTCTTTTACAGTATCTGGCCTCATTAAGAAATTGGATGTTTCCAGAAAGCCCAGTTGTAATCTTTGAAGCCCCAAACTGAAAAACAACTACATCTTTTAACCATTTTCCCTAGAAAACATTTTAAAAAGTCCTTCTAAGAAACCCCAAATAACTTCATATTCACTTTTAAAAATGTGTTAAAGACAAGCTTTACAAAGTGACATCACTGTCACTAGTTATTGCCAGTTATCGAGCCCAGCTCTAACATAATGGTGCCCTTGAGGGGTTGTTGGCCCCACACAGGAGGAGCCCCCCCATGACTCTACTTTTGATTTATTAGTCAGGGTTCTCCAGACAAACAGGGTAGGGTGGACAGATAGAGAGGGAGAGATTGATTTTAGGGAATTGGCTCACACAGTTGCAGAGCCTTGGCAAGTCCGAGATCCGCAGGGTAGACTGGCAGGCCAGAGACCCAGGGAAGACTTGTAGCTCAAGTTCAAAGTCTGTGGGCGGAGCTCCCTCTTCCTCCTGGAAAGTCGGTCTTCTGTTGAGTCCTTCGACTGAGTCTGTGAGGCCTATCGCCTTATGGAGGACACTCTGCTCTACCCCAAGTCTACTGTTTCAAATGTTCATCTCATCTTAAAAATACCTTCAGAGAAACCTCTAGAACAACGTTTGACTGAATATCTGGGCACTGCGGCCTAGCCAAGTAGACACATAAAATGAGCCCTCACAGTTTCTAGGTCAGCTTTTAAGTAATTCTCTTGCCTCTTCCTTTGAGGTCAAGCGGGTCCTAGGCATGTGTTGTAGCTGAAGATGGGATGAGAAAATCTCTGAACAGCACATCCCATACCCTCCAGTTTGTTGTGTTGTATCCTGAGAAACCAGAATGCCAGTTTACTTAAATTCCTTTTAAAGTAAGACACTTAGCCTAAAGGGGAGAGGAGCTCACTCCCCACAGTAAGTGCGTGAGCTCTAGTAAATCCACTTTCTATGGTTTTACCTTGTCTGTGTTTTTTGACTGATGGTTCTCAATTGCAATTGAGCTCGCAAGGGCTGTGATCCCAGAGAAGTCTTTTCAATACCATTTAAAGGTGATGCCATGCCTGGACCACAGGAAACAGACAACATCAGGAGGACTCCTTCTTTGGGGCCCTACTCCTTAGTGTTACTTGTCTGATTTTTTTTTTTTTTTCTTTTTCAATTCAGTGTGTCGGTACCACAGTTAGAGCCTAAAGAGATAATCTAAGAGACTGGCCAATGTTGTTACAAGGTTCGTTTCCAAGAAAGACTAGAGGCTTTTGTTTGGCCAACCTTCATTGTGTGTAATTGGGTTTTTAAAGATTTTAAACTCTCTGGTACGTTGAGGTCAGGACCAAGCTTTCAAAAGGGAACTCAGAAGGGAGATGCCCCCTTCTCATCCCCCAGATTAGATCACTCACTGAAGCCACCTCCGTGATTTGAAACTCGGCCCACTTTTCACAAATGCCCCATCTCTTGCATTGAGAAGCCTCTCGAGGACTTATTGTAGACTCTCAGGAAATTGGTGCCGCCAACACAACCGTGTAGGATTTAGGCCTTCGTTGCCTTTGCAGGGAATGTTTGGAATGGACGTTGTGCACATTTGAGTCATGCTTCAAGGAGGGCACACCTTGCATCCCATGCTCACTCATCACGTGGTTCCTTCTCTAGACGGAGTGATCAACATGAGCATCCCCATCGTACTGCCCGTCTCTGCGGATGATAAGGCGCGGCTGGAGGGGAGCAGTGAGTTTGTCCTGACACATGGCGGACGGAGAGTGGCTATCTTACGAGACCCTGAATTCTACGAACATAGAAAGGAGGAACGTTGTTCCCGCGTGTGGGGGACAATGTGTGCAAAACACCCCCATATCAAAGTAAGTGGAAGGGCTTTCTTGATCTCTTTCACTTTAGGACAAAAATCATTCCTTTTTATTCCTTCATGAAGGACTTAAAAGAAACACCAGGGTCAGATGGAGGACTGCATTTCTTTTTTTAAAATCAATTTATTAGAGAGAGAGAGAGAGAGAGCGAGCGAGAGAGAGCATGAGCAGGGGGAGGGGCAGAGGGAAAAGGAGAGAAACTCAGGCGGACTCTGTGCTGAGCGTGGAGCCCGACGAGCAGCTTGATTCCACGACCCTGAGATCATGACCTGGCTGAAGTCAAGAGTCGGACCCTTCACCAACTGAGCCCCCCAGGCACCCCCTGAGGAATGCAGTTCTAGGGCAGGTCTTGCAGGCTCTGCCTTCAGAGATCTTTAGATAGGGGCAGAGAAGTGTCTTTTCTGTTCGGGAGCTGCTCTGAATGAGTCACCGAGTCCTCAGATACTATGATGGCTGGCTCCCTCCGCTAAATGGGAAACAACCGGACTGGGGCGATAGTTGAGTCTGGCATCTTGAGTAAAGGACAGAAATCAGAGCCATAGCTAGAGCTTGTGGCACTCTCCATCTTGGAAATTCACTGGGGAAGCACGCATTCCTTCATCCAGCGTGGGTCCAACCTACCACTGGAGAGAGACTCAGAGTGCATGCCTCGTGGTCAGTGACATCCTTTTAGTAAACAAAAATCAGTGCAGAGCACAGACGGTGGCAGAGTCTCCAGAGAAAAAGAGCACATTGTCATCAGTGGGTATTTTAAGATTGAAAAATGCGTTCATCTGATTAGGATTGTTTTGAGTCTATCCTGCCTAAAGGCAAAATAGGCTAAACCTCCTCAGATTCCTTCACAGCTTCTACTTGGTGCGGGTGGGGGTGGAGAGTCTCATGGAATTGCTGGGTGTGGTCCGTTTCCCATAAAGGAAAGTATGTGAGATTGAATGCAAAAGCCATCCCTCGCCCAGCATGAGAACATTAGGGTTGAAATTTTTAAAAGGCCGTATAAAAGGAGGGGCCAGACTCAAAATAACCCCAGGATCTCTTCCAGCCCTGCGCCCCTACAAAAGATGTTTGAGTGAGCCTACTGGAATTGGTTGGGCAGATGTTGGTTTGGTCTCGTTTGTTTCAGTTGTGACATGTTGCAAGGGAGGAAGGGCTTTTCCAAGGCCTCTGAACACAAGAGGTGAATGAGCAAAGCAGCTTCTCATTTGATGGACACAATCATCCACCTTGTAGCTGAGCATCTTGATCCTGCCTCTGTTTCATCTACTCCCTGGTCCTCATGGTCTCGGGTTGGGTTCTGATCTTCTGTCAGTGACCCGGAGGGGGAAGAGTGACCCTGCATCCCTGTTCCAGAGATGTCCCCTCTTGGGGCCCGTTGTCCACCTCCACTGTGGTAGCCCTAAAAGAAACACCTGAGGAAGCTCTCGAGACTTAATTTCTTTTCATCTTTTCGTCAGTTGGAGCTCAGAATTTTTCATAGAAGCCAGGGAATACGGTGCTGTGACTCGTGGTCTTGGTCATCTGGTCAGTGACCGTCCCAATGAGGTCGTTAGAGGGACTCTGCAAACATTCCCAGTGAGCTAATGGCGAGAAATGGGCCATGGATAACCTGACAGAGGAAGGCACTCAGCGTACACACCACACCCAGAGCGTGACGCGCGTCCACTGGACGCACCGTACACACTACACACCGTTTACAGGGCAGGGACTTTTCACTGCCCCTTTTTTTAGCACCTTGAAATTTACAGTGAAATTTACACTTAAAGGTGTTCTTCCCCCGCCGCCCCCCCCCCAAAGTAACCCCTTCCAAAAGTGGCCGTGGGCCTTGTTGCATTTCCAGTGGCCCTGGGAGTACTTGGCTGGGTCAGTTCTGGGGGTTGGCGCTGAGCGCTCCCTGTGAGTCTGTGAAGGTTGGGATCCTGGCGTTAGAGAAGTATTCAGGGCTCTTTCCGGGCTGGCTCCAGCTGCAAGCGCCTCACCCCATCTGGCTGCGGCCGAATCCTGGGCGTCTTCCTCCTCCCCTGTTCGCTGGGCCGCCGAGTCCTGGCGATTCCGCCCTGCGCCCCGCACCCCCCCCCCCCCCCCGCCCCGTGTCCTGCCTGACTCCGGGCCAGCCTCGTCCGTCTCGCCCAACCCTTCCCCGGCTGGTCATGCTCCGTAGTGGGCCAGCGTGTTGTCCTCTCCTGCTCCTGCACGTGCTGGTCCCTCAACCCAGACACTGTTCCTCCCGCCCCTGCCACTTCCCCGGGCTGCCACCCTGTACCTCCTTTCTCCCCGTGACCTGTAAGCGTGACAGGGGGTGCCTTCTTTATGCTCCCAGAGCACTTTGCCCTTGTGCGGCCCCAGCTCCTCCAGGTTTGTCGCCTGTTCAGCCTTCTGCCCGCTCGGGAGAGGAGGGGCCGTGCCGCTGGGTGGGGCCTGTGCTGCAGGCCGAGCTCCGGGGAGGCAGCAGGTGCAGTGGGAGGAGCAGCCTGGCTTGGGGGTCCTGGGCGTGGCGTCTTGGCATCTGGCAGAGCCTGTGCGCCCTTGAGTGCTGACGCTTCTCTCGTCTGCAAACGAGGCGTGAAGCCCTGTCCTCTGCACCTTCCTTGTCGCCCCAGAACCTCCAGACCAGGAGGCACAGCACAGACATGAAGGGATGTTCTCCACGGGGACCGCCTCAGTTTTCTGCCTCTTGATCCTCATCTCTGAACCCTTTCGTTGTGACCCTGCTTGCCCCGAACCGGCCGTTTCTCACTTCCTCCCGGTTTCCTGCCCGCTCCCCGTCCCCTTCCCATTGCGACCCGTGTGCCTCCCCACACTCAGCAGCGGCTCGCGCTCCAGCCCGTGCACCCCGCCTCCTCCCCAGGCTGTGTCTGTGGGGCTCCTCAGCGCAGCCGCCCCGTCTTCGTGCTGGAGTCTGAGCTCCCCCCTCCTCCTCCCTGTGATTCCAAGCGCGGTTGCCCTCTCACACTTCCTTCCACTCGCCGGAAGCCCGTCCCCCATTTCTGTCTGTGCGCCCAGGTCCGCAGACTCTCTCCAGCGGTGCCCCCCTGGCTGCCTTTTAGCAGGAGGCCCAGAAGGAGCTGGGGGCCCTTAGGCCAACAAAGTCTGAGAAATGGGGCAGAGCCACGGAAGCTGCCTTCCTCGTAGTAGCGAGAGCTCCGTTCTGGGGACAGTTGGGCCATCTTGGGGAGAGAAATGCCCTTTGCCTCTCCCCATTTCAGAGATGCCAGAAGCAAATAGTTCAGCGTTGTTCATCAGATAGGCACATTTTTTAGGCTGAGTTGTGAACCAAACTGGACAGACGGCGCCTTCACCAACAGAACAATATAGCGTGGACCCCTAGCGTCCAGCCTGAGTTACTGCACTCCTAGGGATTTGGGGTGTCTCCACAGTTTATCCGTCGCCCACCTCTGGGCCAGGAGGAGAAAGCAAATGCACAGGTACGGGGATTTGACAGTATTCTTATTAAGTGATTTTCCTCCCTCCATCCCACACGGCCGTGTTTTTCCTTTCCGTTGCTGTGACGACCCCTCCCGCCGGGCTCACCCTTCACGTTTGTGGGGCCCAAGGCAAATGAAAGCCCACATTCCATATTTAAAAGTTACCTATCGAACTAACAAACCGTTAGATAAAATGTGTTCTGCCCTCCTACGTTAAGAATACCCTAGAAGGTCAGGTTCAAATTTAAATTCCGCACCAGAACATGGTGTTGTGTGACGAGTTGGCTCTCGACCTGCCACGAACCCTCTTTCCTTCTCTCTGCTTGGCCTTGTCCTGTACCAGGAGGGCGCCCCAGGCCGGATCGCTGGGCTCCGTCCTCACGCCCCCGCAGACTCCCCTGCCCCGGCCCCTCCCCAGACATAGGGCTGCCTCCCCGGCTGTGTGGTCCACCCGGAAAGACAGGCTGCGAGAGGAAGCGTGCGGTTCCTTGTCACGGTGTGCATTTTCTGTTCCTCACTGTCCCCCGAAGTCACTTCAGCAGAGACTGGGTCTTGACGAGTGAGGGTGTTAACGGTAACCTCTGCGCTTTCTTTGAAGAATCTTACAGTTTTAGATTGTACATTTAGGTCTTTAATCCATTCTGAGTGAATTTTTTTACAGGGTATAAAATAAGGCTCTTTCTCTTTGAATGTGGGTACCCAGTTTTCTCAACACCGTTTGCCAGAGAGACTGTTCGTTCCCCATCGAGTGGTCCTGGCGCCCTTGTCAAAGATGATTTGAGAAAAATAAGGTTTTAGCTACTTGAGTCTGTGCTTAGCCTTGGATGTGGATTTGGCAACATATTGCTGCTCTTTGGACATTTTCTTTTGTTTTCAAATTAGAGGTAACAAAGAAGGATGTTTCTTTTCAGAGTTTCCTTAGAAACTGTGCTCAGCAATAATGAACCGGTAGAAAACAACTTGCCTGATTTCCCCCGGCTTCTCTATTTTGGGTCCTTACTGAAGACAGTCTAAGACACATCAGGCTGTATGAGGGATGTGCTGGCGGTGGTTCGCAGGACACTGGGGGTCCCCGAGGCCTTTCCACAGAACGCCAGTCTCAAAACTCCTTCGTAATGCTGAGACATCCTGTGCTGTCTTCACTGGGCTGACTCTTGTACTGCCCGTGCCAGAGCAACGTGGGCGAAACTCCTGGCCCCTTGGACTCAAGACGCCTGGCTCAACTTGGGTCGTCCCCTCGACCCCAAGCACTTGCAGTAAAAACAGGGCCGGCTTCAGTTAAGAATGTTCTTGATGATGGGGAGCTTGGGTGGCTCAGTTGAGCGTCCAACTCTTGATTTTGGCTCAGGTCATGATCTCAGGGTCGTGGGATCGAGCCCCGAGCCGGACTCCCCGCTCAGCGCTGGGCGTGTGGAGTCTGTTTGAGATTCTTTCTCTCCCTCTGCCCCTCCCTCCCCTGCTCACTCTCTCTCTCTCTCTCTCTCTCTCTCTCTCTCTCTCTCTCTCAAAAAAAAAAAAGTATAAAAGGGTTGAGACCAAAAAGTTTGAGAAATACTGTGTTAGAAATGCTTAAGAATGGAAGGCGGTTCTTCAGGCTTAACCCAAGGTTGGTGTAGGAGAAAATGGTTTTCAGATACACTAGAAGTCGACACTCATCTCCAAGAACTTTACTCATGGTCTTTCTAGATGGTGATGGAAAGTGGGGATTGGCTGGTGGGTGGAGACCTGCAGGTGCTGGAGAGGATACGGTGGAATGACGGGCTGGACCAGTACCGGCTGACGCCTCTGGAGCTCAAGCAGAAGTGTAAAGAAATGAACGCCGGTACGTAGACTGCCTTGTGTGCCTTTGCCAGTCCTCCCCACCGTCTGATTATAGAATTCGAGATACCAGGAATCTGCCATCTTTATAGTTTCAAAAAGCTGGAAGCCTCTATGGATGTGTGTACTGCTACGGACTGGAGCAGTTTAGAAAGCTGAAGTACATCCACATATTGGAATAGGATGCGGCAGTTAAAAATAGGCACGGACACCGAAAAATACCCAAAGTGTATTTCTTCAGCCAAAGCACACATTGCAGAACAATCTCTACAGCGTAATTTTGGAAAACAAAATACAGTAATTGTTCTTAACACCCTAAGTTACTTCTGTGTCTAGAGGCAGAAGTCTCTGGGGCGTGCGCCCCAAACCGCAGGTGACAGGGGCCTCTTGGGGAGGGAGTTAGACCAAGGGGCGGGAAGGTTTTCACTTTTATAAATTTCGAAAAAGAGAGAGAAAAAGTAATGGTGGGATTATAGGTGGTTTTTATATCCTGTCTGGGGCTTTTCTGGATTCCCCACAATTTCCATGATGGATATTTATTTCCTTCATAACTAGAAGGAAATGAAGCCTCTCAGGAGCCCGTCACTAAGTGGAGTAGTTTTGAAGATTTTTTTACAGTGAAGGTGAAATAATGTTTTTACGTCTTTAGGTTGTTAAAACTTTCCCCAGGCCCCAGATGGTGCTGGTCGTTGCTCACCCCCTTGGGGAGCGAGCCTGAAGCAGAGGGTGACATGGGGACTGAGTGGTGCTTGGTGGCAAAGGCCCTGGTAACAGATGCCTTCATTTCCGAGGCAGGCTCTCCGATTAGGGCTTCCTGCCTGGGTGTCCTGTCCGGTCTGGTGGGTGACTCTGGAGTAACCAAGTAACCCGCAAGGACCCAGGTGGACTCCCCAGATGACTTTCGAAAGCAAGTGGGCATAGTGAGTGCCCTGAACAGCAAACATAGCTGTTTCCTTTCTTTCAAGATTTTTAAAAAATTTTTAAGTCATCTCTATACCCATTATGGGGCCCGAACTCCCAACCCCGAGATGAAGAGTCCCATGATCTGCCGACTGAGCCAGCCAGGCGCCCCTTCCTTTCTTTTAAAATTCACGATCTAATTGGCTTTATTAAACAATTCGAGCAAGCAGAGGGGAGCTCCCCCTGCCTTTCCTTTTTTGTTCTTGCGGGCGAGCGACAACGTGCATTTTGTTCAGCTTGGCCTTTGTATGCTCCTGTCCCAGATGCGGTGTTCGCGTTCCAGCTGCGCAACCCCGTCCACAACGGCCACGCTCTGCTGATGCAGGACACCCGCCGCAGGCTGCTGGCGCGGGGCTACAAGCAGCCCGTGCTCCTGCTGCACCCTCTGGGGGGCTGGACCAAGGACGACGACGTGCCCCTGGCGTGGCGGATGAAGCAGCACGCGGCGGTGCTGGAAGAAGGGGTCCTGGACCCCAAGTCAACCATCGTTGCCATCTTCCCCTCCCCGATGCTGTACGCTGGCCCCACAGAGGTGAGCGGTTCCCTGCGCCGGGCTGGGGGCCTCGGAAATGGGGGCTCAGGCTTTACTTAAGAGGAGCCAGGGAGTCTCTGCGCTCCTTTTCTCTCATGAGCAGATTCTGGAAGCTTCCAGTCTCTCTTCTTTATCCAGCTTCATTCTGTTTCCATTTCGTATTCGTAAGAACGCCAGAAACACCGCCTCAGACCCGTCACGCACTGCCTTTGGGAACGTGGAGCTGACGTGTGAGCAAGGAGGGTAATGCGGCTTGACTGAGGCTGTAGGGCAGACCGTGTTGCGCCTCACACTCAGGTCCCGAAGTTTCGGTCACTCTGCCTGGTTCACCACACACGCCCGTGAGCGCCCTTGGAAGGGAGCATTCGTCTCTAAAAGCTCGGTGTCCCCTTTTGTCATAGCACAGCGAGCCCGCCAAACGGATGCCCTCCGTCCCGTGGCTCCAAGTGTGTGGGAAGCGTGATCAGTTGGAAGGGTCCCAGCGCTTTGGGGGTACCCCAAACAGTGTTTCGGAAATGAATTCTCTTCAAGCAGACCGCAGCGCCAGGCCCCCTCATCCTCTGTGTTTCTCGCTGAGCTTCAGACGGGGTCATTCATTTTGAAATGCCAGTGTCGTGTTGAACTAGAATCAGTGTCTTCGTATAATCCGCTCATTATTGGCAGTCGGGTAATCAGACATGTTGGAATTTGTAATTTCCTTGAAACTGTGATCTATTCCGAATAGGGAGGGACTAGAAAGTAAAATTCACATGTCTGAGTGCTTCTGGTCCATGTGCCTGTCTGGAGGGGTGACTAGGAGACAGAACCTCGGGTTCTAGGAAGCTGGGGTGAGGTGGGGGGAGTTCGTGTCTAGAGCTCCTACTGCCCTCCGTGATGGAGCGAGCGTGAAGAGCACGGGGTCTTGGACACTCCACTGACGTCCTCCAGCTATCGGTCGATCCTGGATTACTTTTAAAGCAGAACAGAGGCGTCTCTGTAAACGGGGACCCCCGAGCTGGCCAGCGGTGACCCGCATCTCCCTTGCGTGATGTTTCCTAGGTCCAGTGGCACTGTCGGTCCCGGATGATTGCAGGGGTCAATTTCTACATCGTGGGCCGGGACCCTGCGGGCATGCCCCACCCTGAGACCAAGAAAGACCTGTACGAACCCACTCACGGAGGCAAGGTCTTGAGCATGGCCCCGGGCCTGACCTCGGTGGAAATCATTCCATTCCGCGTAGCTGCCTACAACAAAGCCAAAAAAGCCATGGACTTCTATGACCCGGCAAGGTAGGTTTCCAGAGGAAGATTCTTTGATCACCGCCTGTACGCCGTCTGTGGAGGGGCATCTCCACATGCTCCCGGTGGGATGAGAGGTCCCTAGAAGGCCGAGACCTGGTCTTACATGTTCCGTGCCCCCCCTGAAGTGTAGCACGGCCCCTTGCATGTCAGCGGATGGTCCGTCAGTAGCTCTCTTTCAACAAGTCTTCCTTGAGCAGGTGTTAAGGGACAGGAAGCCAGCGTAGCAGCAGGGGGCATGCCCGCGCACAGAGCAGGCACCCAGGCGGCGTGGAGCGTGTGGCTGCCGTCACGCCCGCCGTCACGCCCCCTTCTGCTGCAAGTTCCTTTACTCAGGAGTTAGTGAACTGCCCACTCCCCGCGGCGAAGGAGAAGATAGGGTCTGAGCCTCGTCACCTCAGGCAGGCCTCTCTGGGGGCGGGGTGACGTCCCCGCTCTGAGCTCTGTGTGGCTGCCCCGTGACAGGCACGACGAGTTTGACTTCATCTCGGGGACACGAATGAGAAAGCTGGCCCGGGAAGGAGCGAACCCCCCAGACGGCTTCATGGCGCCCGCAGCGTGGGAAGTCCTGACAGACTATTACCGGTCCCTGGAGAAGAACAACTAAGTGCCCTCCGGCTCCAGAGTTTCTTCTCGAAGTGCTCTTGGGTTCTCTTTCCTATTTTTGTGATTAGATGCTTTGTACATGATTGCTTCTCAGTGACTGATTTCCATGTTTTATAATGGGGTAAAACTTGTGTCTATAATTTAAAGTCAACCTCAATAATATATAAAAGAAAGTCCGAATGAAGGCCACCTCCTAGCAGGTGCACGCAGTACTGTTATTTCAGAATGAAATTGTGTTCTCTACTGCATCTGACTACGTAGGTCCCGGGTTTGTGAACGCTTTGACTGTGTGTCTTAAGTTTACTGGCCAAGGGGTGAAGTGTATTTTCCAGCTTAAGTCTTGCCCAAGGTCCCCGCAGTAACGGGAACCAGACTGAGCAACCTCTTCTGTACAACTGGCCTGGGGGGGGATTTCTCACCCCCAAACGAGGTGGGGCTCGCGTGAAGCTTCCCGCTGCCTCACCTCCTGCCTCCCGCCCCATCTGCTAAGGGCCCCAAGCCACACCTCGGATCCATGCGACCGAGTTCGGCCGAGAAAGTTTAGGTTATCTAAGAAAGGAGGGCGGCCTTACCGCCCTTGTGTGAAGAGAACCGCAGGTCAACGGTGATTTTTCAGTCGGAGAACACAGGACGCCTTGAGGAACAGACTGGCACCCACGGCTCAGACGATCCGGCATTGTTTGTGGTGGGAAGTTAATTTTTCTCCTCTTTGCTGTGGTCACTGTGTCCTGGGAGAAGCAGCTCGGGCCCAACCAGTGCAGACCATCAGACTAGTGAGCTGCTGGAATGGGGAAAAGACCCCAGAAGGCCTGCTGTCTCCCAGGGGTCCCCACCCCACGATGCCCAGCGCCTGCTTCGGGAGCGCCCGAGCACGGTCACAAACTCTCACAGTTGGCATCGTTAGAAAGTACTGGTGACACCCGACGGGCCTGCCGCCGCTTGACCTGCAGGCTGGGGCTCCGTCTACCCTGTACGACACAGGGGCTGCCTCTGGCCCGCCTCAGTTGCTTAGCAGAAAAGCTCCTTGCACAGAAGGCACTTAGGACGCAGTCTTCTTGGATGCCAGGAAGTCCAGGGTTTTCTAAACCCAGCGGATCTTAGTGCAGCTGGAGAAAATACTCTTCCAAAGACTCATGCTGTGCTGAGACATCTAACCTCTGATGGCTTTACTTCTTGGGAGGTGATCTTTATACCTAATTCCTTGTTGCTAAAGAATATATGAAGAAACCGCACCTTTTGTAGCTAGGTCTCTCTGGAAGAGACTTAAACTGGAAAGAGAAAACTGTGATTTTTTTTTTTTATTTTTTCCAAGAAAATGCTCATCTTAGCTACTGAAAGTTCTTCTGAGAGTAAATTACACACAGTGGCCACAGCAAAGTGTATCTGCCTTGACTAGTATAGTGCCTATGTTGATTTAATCAGAGGTACGCAGTACTGCCTTTTTAAAGAACAGTGTATTTATTGAAAACATGGGATGGAATGTAGTGCCTTAATCAATATATTTTGTGATTTTTAAGATATATTTAAAACTGCTTTTCTGCTCTTAATAATACTTAGTGCAAATGACTATTTCTATGTACAAGTGACGCTTGTTTTTGTTTTAATAAATTTCTCAAAACGGACGCGGAGTCCTTTCTGCCTGTGACCGTGTGTGGGTCGGCCATGGGACTGCCGAGGGCTTTGTGACTGTATAATTGGGAAGAACAGCAACCCTCTGACCACAATGAAGAGGCTGTGTCCGAGTCACTTAACAACCGCACGGTGGGCGTAGATGTGCAGGGCTCCTGATGTGCTCAGGGGGGCGAGGCTGCTTGGGGGCTCACCGTAGGAGGATGTCACCGCGGGAGGGTCTGACCTCTTTCGTCCTTGCTCCCTTTGCTCAAAGTGCCCCCAGGGAGTGCGCCAGCTGGGCTGGGAGCGGGGTTTTGCTGTTGCCTTGTTTTCCATCCGCTCCCACACCACCGCCAACCTCAGCCCCGGGCTCCTTTGTCTTGAGCTGGGTACCTGTTTCCACCCCTACTTCCTGTGGCCTGCGGGCACCTGGCAGTCTGGGGCTGTGCTCCCCCCCCCCCCCCCCCCCCCCCCCCGCCGCCTTCCTGCGGTCCTGAAGGCTTCCTGCACGCCCTGCCGCTGCTCCTCATCGGGCAAACAGCCCGCTTCTCGCCCAGGGCCTCGCTCGCTCGCTCCTTCCAAGTGACCATTAGTGGGACCAAGCAGGGCAAGACGTGTGAGGACACGAAGACACACACAAGGGGTGCCCAGGGGGGGATGCCAGACCCTCAGGGCAGGGAGAACAAAGCCCGGAAAGGCCCCTGGACGTCGCTGGGTCTGACGATGGCAGACCTTGGCAAAAGTACCAGCGCTCAGGCCCCAGGATTTCTCTCCAGCCTGTCTTCCTTGCACGAAGGAACCAATCCTGGTTACTCGAGGTGAATAAGTGATTTTGTTTTCTCTTTATCTTCCATTCTGGGACCCGGCCGTCAGGGCTGGCTTTCCTGACAGGCACTGGGGCTGCTCTTACTTGTGAAGGTCGGAGGGACCAATCGTGCCGCTTTGCCTCGGATTCTGAATGCAGGTCCCCGTTACTTAAGCATTTCCTCATCACCACATGCATCAAGGATCAGGAATGCACTACGCACAGATTTTGAAAACCACTGACTTCGCTTGCCTCTCACATCCATTTAGTTCTTCGATGAATTATTAACTATTATTGGGCCACTCAGTATGTTCATGGAACGGGGAAGATGATACACAAGCAAGTCACTGGTTCTCACTCCAGAATCCGCCTACCTTTTCTCTTATATTGTAAATTATTTTAATGAAAAAAAATTACTGACTTTTATTGATATCACTAAAAATAAATGGGTTACTGGCTAGAGTTTGGAGAATTAGTTAGATACAAGAAAAACCTAGATAGTATACCAGTCACACTTTTCTATGGGGCTAGCAAGGAACGGGGGATGCTGGCGAAGACCCCCCCCCCCAGCTGAGCGGGCACAGCTCTTTTAAAGTCACCATATGTATTTACTATCGCTGGCATCAATAATACACACTGTATTTGGTGAAATTCTTAAATACAGTTTTTTCCCCCTAGAAGTTTAAGCCTGCTGTGCACTTCTTTCACAAAATAATGTATGTGATAGTTCTTATAAACTGTAACAGATGATACACACTTTTGTGGAAAGAACAATCTTGTTTTATATCTATTTCATACGCCTGCTTTCCATAAATAGTTCAAAGGTAAAATTCAGCTCCTTGTAGGTTGTGTGGACTGCTTGCATGTAAATAACTCCAATACTGATCTGGTATTTTGAACTAGTTAAAAGACTGGCTTCTGCAAGTGTATTCACCAAGAAGAACCTACATTTATGGGAAGATATTAATCCCATGAACCACTAAAGAGGTCGTATCCCCTGTCCTATCCTCAGATGATAAAAGGAATTCTAGAAAGTACTAGATCTTTGGGTAGGCAAAGCAAACAACAAAGCAAGCTTCTAGCTCCAACAGAGTCAAGGAAATAAACACGTTTAATACACCGGAACATCAGGCCCACGCGGCGTCTCTAACCTATCGGATGGCATTTTGGTAACTGCCCATCAGAACAAGTGCATCCACCAAGGCTGACACCCATCAGCAGCTGAGTACTGCAGTCAGGTCCGTGTCGCTAACGAAGGGCCCTGCGTCTGTCAACACGGCCGCCGTTGCCACAGTGCGCAGCTTAGTGAGCTGGGACGGGCACGTGGAGAGATCTATTTCAGCAGGCCCGTCATGGTGCAGACAGGGAAACGGAGGCCTAGAAATGGGAGACGGGAGAGGACTGCCCTAAGCACACGAGAGCCTGCAGCCAGACTCACTTCCTCACTCCCAAAGTGTTTCCATAGGATTCTTAAAACAATCCCAGAAGGTACCCATTTATGATTTCTATTTACAGATAAGGGAACAGGTGCTCAAGGAAACAAGTTTTGCCCAAGGCTACAATGCCGTATATACATGGCATACATACATACATACATACATATAAAATTCTATTACATATAGACAAGTTTCACAGCTGGGGTTGAAACCTATAAAGTTGGAAATGACCTTCACAGGACTTCTAATTCTGCTAGAATGTAGGAGGATGTGAAAGACCTTTACTCCCAGAGTAACAGGAGAAAACCGAGGCAAAAATAATGCTTCTCTATAAGGCTGGCAAAGAAGAGTGAATACAAGGATTCTTCACCGACTGCCCTGTGGGGAGAGAGAAGCCCCTTGGGGGTGAGCAGGAGCCTGGGTGCTTGCGTGTACCCCAGGGAGGAGATTCCTTCCTAAGTCTGGATGCAGGGTACGGAAGAGCAGGCCTGCCTCAGTTGGAGATTTGGCAGAGATGTGGAGAATTCAACCAGGACTCAGTACTGACCGAGACCCACAAACATTACCACCTTCAAAAACAAACTGCCAGGCTAGACAGTCCCCCTTACCTGGATCTCACAGAGTAAATGGTCAGAGAGGCTCTGAGTCTCGTGTGTCCTCCTGGTGACTGGCTGCCAGACCCCGTCAGAACTGAGCACACGGAGGGAGCCGCGGACATCTGACCCCTGCACGCCCAGCCCCTCCCAGCTCCAGTACTGCCGAGTTCCAAAGGCTGCTGCCAGAGAGGTCAGGGGAGGGCTTAGCATACCCTTAGCACGGACATCTGACCCCTGCACACCCAGCCCCTCCCCAACTCGTCTTCTTATGGCCGCAGCCCAGACCTGGCATGACCGGACTCTAGAATGGGGGACAGTCAGGCCTTCGCCACAGCTGCCCGTCAGAGGAAAACGTTTGCCTCCCTTGGAAATAAAACAAAAACCAACATTGTACTTCAGTCTCCAGTGTCCTTTTTATACCCGTTATCTGGACTAAAACACATTACCAACTAGAAGTGATCACTTAAGCTCAAAGTTGGACATGCCAAGCGGCAGTGAAGCATCGGGGGGAAGCAGAGCGTCTGGGATCCCGGGAGGCTGTCCACACAGCCTGCAGCGCCGGCTGCTCCCCACACACCCGCTAGTTAGAACACCACCATCGCTGAGCACATAACCTACGGCTGCCGGCGACCGGCTGGTCATTTGTCACTTTTTGTCCAGCCACCTTCTCCACAATACTCATTTCTTTGGTCGATACACTGCTCTCTTTTGCATTTAGTCCTGCTCTCCAACCATGTAAGCCAGGGTTCCCGGAGGGCCCCTCTCTCAGAGCTCCAGGACCGCGGGCAGTGGTTTTCCCTGGGGTTTGCACACCCACTTCCAGGATTCAAGAATGGGGCAATTTAAAGATAAATGGGGTTCATTCAATCCAGTAGAAGAATAAAAGCTAGATCCTTGAGCAATTCCTGCTGCAAAACCTTCGGGAGCTTTCTGTCCTCAGTCCAGTTTTTGAACTTCCTTTTGAGCTCATGAGCTAGCTCCTCATATCCTTCAAATAAATTCTTTATTGCTGGAGTCAGTTGTTTGCAGTGGAACCCCAACGGGTACTTTTTACGAGACCAGGACTCTGGCCCCGTAGACAATGCTCGGCTCCCTCCCACACGTCTGCAAATAATTTGCTCGACTTGTATCACCATCCCCTATTCGAGCACCTTGGCCATTCTCAGGATTTCTGCAAGCAATGCATCTCCGGCACACAACATCGTGCTCTAGTTTTAAAACTGAACTGTCATGATTCACAAACTCAGATCCTTGATACGTTCCACACCAGCATTCACATTCACTGCAACTGTAGCTCCAAGCACAAAAGCTTGTACTTACAAGTGTTCTCAGGCAGAGTGATTTTAACTCTAAATATTAATCA